CATTCAGAGCAAGGGAGATTATTGTGTTTAGATGAAAGAACAGGAAGAGAAAATTTTTTGACAATGGTGTTTAAAATTGCAGATAAGGGATGACCTAATCGAGAGTGCCATAAGGACAGAGGAACTTTGGAGCTTGGTGACGAGAAGAAGGCAGTCGCTTGTGGTGTTGCTGGCCATTCATAAAGGTCTTGTTTAGTCTGTCCTTGAAGCAATGGGACCCCGTACTGAGATTTTTCACCTGAAAGGAGGTAGGGAAAAATTCCACTGATACTCGGTTAGCATTGCATAGTCGAGACACTGATATGAGATTCTTATCAATGCTAGGTACACAAAGAACATTTGTTAAATGAAGGTTTCAAGTATTAGAACGAAGAGAGAGGGAACCGGTTTGTGTTATAGGGACTGTCGAGCCGTCAGCAAGTAGAACATCATCGCCACCGTGGTATGGTTGATGTAGTGAGAGGTTGTGAAGATCGGATGTAATATGGTGGGTTGCGCCACTGTCCATTATCCAATATTCAAACACAATAAGAACGATATTCTTATATGGTAGCAGAGTGTAGGGTTTTTTTTTTTTTGGTTTAAGGTTAAGATTTATACCAAACGACAAAACATACAAACGGTTTCTTTTACAAACGGGAAACACTTACCTATGATAACTTACTCTACAATGGGAACGGAAATACAAGCAAGACCATTACATCGGATGAGAAATACAGCTGAAATAAATCTCCAGGAGAGAAGAAGTGCCATCATGTTGCGGTAAGGAGAGCAGACGGTCACGGATAGTCCGGTCAACTTGCGATTTCAGGGCGGAAGCGACGGAGGAAACATTCTTGAACACCCGAGCATTGCGCTCCCGCCATAGAGCATAAACGATTGTCTGCAGCATACACTTGAGAATAATTACTCTATGCGGGCAGCTTGGGGAAGGGAGCAGAAAGTGATCAACGATTTCATCCAGCAGGAGGGGGATGTTGAGAGGGGACACTCGCGAAGCAAAGGCCAGCCAGAGATCCTTGGAGTACGCACAATCAAAGAAAAGGTGGCTGTGCGATTCATCAATAGCCGGAGGGTTTCCTAGAGTAGTTAAGAACAGTATATTGCTTTACATAATTAACTCGTTGATGTCTCAATCAATGATATGATCGTATCTCTTTGATACGAAGAGTCACCATTTCTCAAGAGTCACGACTTGTTACTTCTATAAGTTGTGTCTTTTCTATTAAGTCATGTTTCTTCAACACAATGTTTCGTTTAGTATAAATATAGGTCGAGTCTCACATTTGTAAAAACAACAAGTTTTCAAATAAATAAAATATATATTTCCTTCTTGTATTCTTCAAAAGAGAAGAGATAATTCATTATCTCTTACTCTGTTTCTCCATTCTTTCTTAGTTAAAGTTTATGTTAACCACAATCAAAAATATTGTGATAATCTAGAATTTGGAAACTACAATTATTCAATGGTATCACAGCTTATCTTGATTTTGGAGCCTGTTCAAGCACAACAAAAATAAAAAGAAGTCCGCTGCAAGAAGAAGAGAAAGATGGAGATGAAGTTTGGAGTGAAGCCGAGATATGATTAAGATATGATTAAGAGAGAGTGTTGAACCATAATCAAATCTCTAAACCAAAGTCATATTTACATAAGTTAGTTACACAACGAAGAGTCACCATTTCTTAAGAGTCACGACTTGTTACTTCTATAAGTTGTGTCTTTTCTATTAAGAGTCATGTCTCTTCAACACAATGTTTCGTTTAGTATAAATATAGGTCGAGACTCACATTTGTAAAAACAACAAGTTTTCAAATTAATAAAATATATATTTCCTTCTTGTATTCTTCAAAAGAGAAGAGATAATTGATTGTCTCTTACTCTGTTTAAAGTTTCTGTTAACCACAATCAAAAATATTGTGATAATTTAGAATCTGGAAACTACAATTATTCAACAAAAATGATTTGGTGTGCGGAGATTGCGCTTGAAAGGCGCGGAAGCTACGATATTTGGGGTGGAGTTGAGTGGTTTGATCATATCCTTACGACTACAGTGAGATTTGGGTCCCTCAAGGTTCTTGTTGTTACCGTTTGATGAATGCGTTCACAAAACTTGAACGTGTCTTCTTTTGTTTGGAATGTGTGTGTGGTCTTCTTTTACTCCATTTTTTTTTCTTGACTGTTTCACTTCTAATCATTTGATGTCTTTCTCTAGCATTGCGATGATTCCACAAACCAAAAGAAAAGAAAACCCATCGTAAAAAGTATTATATATACTTCTTTTTTTGCTTTAACTAAACCTTTTGAACAACAAGATATCAACAAAATCGTATCATCCTTTATGTGGAAACTGTTTGAACAATCCTTAACTTTCTCTCTATCCACTAAAAACGTAAATAATCCCATCTTCTCACACCATAGTCTCCTCACGCCATGAAGGAAACTTTACTTTCTCAAACCCTAAAACTCGCCACTCAAACGTGTTTAGGAAGTATCATTTAGGCTTGTGCCATTGTCACCCGGAACAATAAGAGTTTAATCATGGTAATTTTTCACTGTATTAAGAAAATTATGTTTATACAATAAGATAATTGAGAGAGACTTTTATATAGGTTCAATAATACAAACAATTCTTTAAAAAAAAGGAATGTTAAATTTATAGTCAGCTAAAAAAAACATATGTTTTACAACTGGTGCAACGTTTTAGAAACAGAAGTAAGAATGTGTTAAAACTAAAAAAAATTAGCCACGGTTTTGAAACCACTTAGCAAAAATCTCCTCATGTCTCACATGCAGTCTTTGGATCGACGAGATTTGATCCCAAACTGCCTTGTCTATGAGATGGATTATGCGCTGAGGTGAGGTGGAGAGTGAGGTTCCTCATGTCTTCTGTTGTTTTTCTCCCTTCAAACAAAAATTTAGCCTAGCAAAGATAACTCGTTTAGGTAATGTAAGAATAATCCACTACATAATTATTTGAAAAGTAACATTATTGAAAATAGCTGATTTGTTAACACTACAGCCAAAGTTAGTGCTTTTAATTGATGACATGTAAATGTGACATGTCAAACTTTTTAAAATAAACGAAATGTTTTGATTGATTGAATTAAAATTATAGAAATTATGGAATTAAAACATAAAATAGTATATTATACTTATAACACTAAAATTAACAAATTTTAAATTAACAGAAAATAATTATTATTATGATTTTAAAATTTAATTTCATCAAAAATATAATTAAAAAATGTTTTCAACAAAAAAAATATATCGAAAAAATAATACTAAATTATCCAATAGAATAGTAAAGATTTTATATATTAATAATGTTTGAATTATGATATATTTTTATTTTGGAAAGTTATTAATTTACAAAATATAGTAATAACATCTAAACAAGTTTTAAATAAACAAATTATTAAATAATACAATTTCAAATAAAATACAATCATGATAAAAATAATTTAAAGAATAAAATGTTAAAAATAATAAAAAATAATTAACTTTTATTGAAATTTTTTTTAAAACTTAATTTAAAATAAATTTTCTTTTCAAACCAATATTTACTAAATGAATAAAATATATACTAATTATTATTTTATAATATTAATAGGATCATATATTTTTATAAAACTTTTATCACATTTTTATTGTTATTTTCTAAAATATACATAACTTATGTTACCATCTCATCTTATCTTTTATCATATTTTAAATAAAAAAAATTATATTATATTCAAATATATATATATATATATTCGTAATTTTTTATTGTATATCAAAAATTTGAGATCATAAATGAAATAAAAAATAACCGAATGAAATAATAAATTAAATAAAATGAAATAAATATGAATAAGAATTAAAAATAGAAGTGTATAAAAATAAATCTCTCGAACTTTGTTTTACAAAGTCACATAAAAACTTTTTAACATATAAGAGCCATATTTTGACTATTTTACAAATACGCGTACAGACATAAATATTATTTGTGCATTAGTAGAAGTCACATGAACTTTTTCGTGCATGTTAGTATTTGTTAAGCTTGATTACAATCTAATTTATATTTTAATTTTTATAGTACAATTTTTCTTTAAAAAAAATCTTTATCTGTTCTAAGCTTAGTGAGGCGGTTGGTACCCCCACACATGCATGTCAACTATCTATCCGCTCTTAGGATAAGTAAAAATAGTAAAACTTATTTCAATTTAATTTGCAATAAATAAATAAAAAATATATATACTTAAAAATATATTATATACGTATTTCAAATTCATATTATGTAAGACGTAAAAATTTATTGTAGATTGTGTAAGGTAAAATAAAACATATTATAAATAATATTCAAAAAAATATCATAAAAATTTAATTATTATTTAATATAACATTTATATTTTTGATTATATATTATTACAAATTTTATAAAAATAAAAATTTTTAAAATACCTTAGTTCCAGAAATAAGTTAGGAAATATTAAAACTATATATATATATATATATATAAATATATTAATGTTTTAACTATATATATCGAAAATATTATACCCGCACGTAGTAATCATTGCGTAAAAGAAGAATGTTCCTCAATATTTGGCTTATATACAACTTGAGTCACTAACTTACTGAGAGTAATTATCTCTGGATTCAATTTAACTCGTAGTTCCTTTTTACAAAATTAAAAGAAAGAAATCTTGGAAAGAGTTTCACTATATGAGGAAAATACCAAAGCTTCAGATTCTTCATGGCGACAAAATATGTCTTCTCTGAATCATATAGAACTGGAAATCTACGTGTGAGGTTACCCTGAAACCACTTCGACACTGATGAATTTTTTGAGAAACCAAATGGACTTTGATAATGGGTCTGAGCCCAAACAAAATCTAGTACAACTAATTGAGGTAAACCAAACTGAACAGAATGAACCAAAACAAACCTAAACCGATTTAAAAGTTTAAGCTTTTGGAAGAAAAATACTCAAAAACTTCCATTTTGTCTTGTCAAGTCGGTCGATGTCGTACTCGGAAAAGAAGAGGAAAAAGATGGAGGAGCCGTCACCGGCGCTGCAATCAAACTCGATTCCGTCGCTTCCCGGTGATTTGCTAATGAGCTGCATCGCACGCGTGTCAAGATTGTACTATCCGACTCTTTCCTTCGTCTCCAAGAGCTTCCGATCTCTCCTTGCTCCAAAGGAGCTTTACAATGCCCGATCACTCTTGGGCCGCACCGAGAGATGCCTCTATGTGTGCATACAACCATCTGATATGAATACGGGTCCCACCTGGTTCACCCTCTGCCTGAAACCTAATCAAACCCTAACCCACCACAAGCATAAGAGTAAGAGTAAGAAGAAAAAAGAGAAGGAGAAGTCAAGTGGGTATGTTTTAGTTAAAGTCCCAATTCTCGATTCTCCTCGTGCGGGGTTCTTGGGTCTTGTTTCGGTTGGTTCTGATATCCACAGCATCGGACCCGGATCCAACTACTACCTTGAGCCATCCTCTAGCGTCTGGGTTCTGGATTGTCGGTCTCACACGTGGCACGAAGCTCCGAGCACGAAGGTGGAGCTAGTTTCACTTTCTGCTACTGTCGTTGATCAGAAGATATATGTAGCAGGAAGCCACAGATCCATGAAGGACTCGCTCGAGGTGTTTGACACAAGAACACAGATCTGGGATCCCGTCCCTTGCAGCGTGGCAAAACCCTCCTTTGCGGGCTCGAGAAGCGCATATATTGACGGAAAGTTTCACCTCAGGACTAGGGAAGAAGTGTTTTGTTATAGTTCTGACGAAGGTAGATTCCTGGCTGAACCAAGTTTGTGCCGTTCTGTGTTTTCGATTTCTTGTTGCGAGATTGAGAATGTTTTGTACTCTGTTTTGGAAGGAGCGTTGGTGTGGTATGACACTGAAGAAAGCGAATGGAACGAGTTGGAGGGTTTTGTAGGACTACCCCAGCTCTCTCCTGATAGTGTAAGGTTGGCTGATTATGGTGGTAAGATGGTGGTTTTATGGATTAAGTATTTGCCTTCTAGTGATGAGAGAATGATTTGGTGTGCGGAGATTACGCTTGAAAGTGTAGAGTATATAAAGAATACACAATATCGTGATTGATATTGTGATTGATACTATGATTGATATTGTAATTATGTCTAACCTAGTACACCATTCGTATTCTCTTATATATGCTCTGTAATCACTTCTGAAATATATATCATTTAATCATTTACCTTACATGGTATCAGAGCAAAAATCCCACAAACTTTTCAAATTTTTCTAGGCCGCCACCTTTGTTACCTTCGATCATGTCTTCCACAGATTCTCCGGCCACCTCTGCTGAAACTGTCATAGTTTCCGACTCTCACACACTTCTAAGTGTCAATATGACTAATGTCACCAAGCTAAATGCTTCCAATTTCCTCATGTAAAGCCTTCAAGTACACGCCTTACTTGATGGCTACGGTCTTTCTGGGTATTTAGATGGCTCCACCATCACTCCACCACCCACCATTACCACCGGTGATGTTGTCACTTCGAATAACGCTTTTGTCCTGTGGAAGCGCCAAGATCGTCTAATCTATAGTGCCCTCCTTGGAGCGATCAGCAGCACTCTTCAGCCCCTTCTGTCCAAAACCACAACTGCAGCTGAGATCTGGGCCACTCTCACCTCCACATATGCGAAGCCTAGCAGAGGACACATAAAGCAATTGAAGCAACAACTTAAACAATGGACCAAATGCGCTAAATCCATTGATGAGTATTACCAAGGCTTCACCACCCGCTTTGATCAGCTTGCCCTTCTAGGGAAAGCAATTGATCATGAGGATCAAGTAGAGTTCATTCTTGAAGGCCTCTCAGATGATTACAAAACCATCGTGGATCAAGTTGAAGCCCGTGACTCCCCACCATCGTTAACAGAGCTTCATGAGAAGCTTCTCAACCAGGAAGTTAAGCTTCAAAGCATGGTGTCTGCATCTTCTTTGCTTCCTGTCACAGCTAATGCAGCATACAAGAGGTCCGAATAAGAATCAGAATTACCACAAGAACCTGTCCCGCAACAATAACTGGCAACACACACAACAACATTTTGCTCCTCGACAGTCTCAATACACACTGAGACCTTACCTCGGGAAGTGTCAGATTTGTGGTGTCACTGGACACAGTGCTCGAAGGTGTGCTCAATTCCGGGGTGGTAATGCATATTCCTCGCCTCAACAAACACCATGGCAGCCACGTACGCATATGGCGACTGGTCCTTATAATGCTGCAAATTGGATAATGGATACTGGTGCAACACATCATTTAACATCGGATCTTAACAATCTCGCCTTACATCATCCTTACAATGGTGGCGACGAGGTCACAATTGCTGATGGCTTGGGGCTCACCATCTCCCATACTGGTTCATCCTCACTCCTAACCCCCTCTCGTGCTCTCACGTTACAAGATATATTATGCGTACCCGATTTAAAGAGAAATCTTATATCAGTATATCGTATGTGTAACAATAACAAAGTTTCGGTGGAATTTTTCCCTACCTCTTTTCAGGTGAAGGATCTCAGCACGGGGGCCCGATTGTTTCAAGGCCGAACCAGGAATGAGCTGTACGAGTGGCCAGTTTCCATCCCATCCTCGAACTTTGCTTCACCCACACCAAAAACAGATGTCACATCTTGGCATGCCACCCATCTCTTTTAGTTTTAAAAACCGTTGTTTCCCAGTTCTCGTTACCTATTGCAGATTCAGACAATAAAATTATGCCCTGCTCAAATTGCTTCATAAACAAAACCCACAAATTACCCTTCTCTACAAACACAATCATCTCTACTCAGCCTCTTGAGTTACTATATAGCGATATCTGGACCTCTCCAATATATTCGATTGATAACTATAAATACTACTTAGTTATAATCGACCATTATACCCGCTATACTTGGCTATACCCTCTTAAACACAAATCATAAACCCGTGAAACCTTCATTGCATTCAAAGCCTTGGTGGAAAATAAATTTCAAAGGAAGATTTGTACCTTATATTCTGACAACGGTGGGGAATACATCGCTCTATGACAGTTTCTCTCAGCTCATGGGATTTCTCATCTCACGAGCCCACCCCATACACCAGAGCATAACGGAATCGCCGGACGGAAACACCGTCATGTGGTTGAAACAGGTCTAACACTTCTAGGCCACGCTTCGATGCCTCCGACGTATTGGACATATGCCTTTTCTGTCGCGGTTTATCTCATCAACCGTCTACCCAGTTCGACGATTGCTAACCACAACCCATATGAGAAACTATTTTTGCAACCCCCGAACTACCTCAAGCTGCGCGTATTCGGTTCTCTTTGCTTTCCGTGGCTAAGGCCATATGCGAATCATAAGCTGGCGAAGAGATCTGTCCCCTGCACCTTCCTTGGATACTCACTTACTCAGAGTGCGTATCTCTGCCTTGACAAGACGACGGGACGCATATACACTTCTCGGCATGTGCAATTCGTGGAAAATGTGTTTTCATTCGCTGCTCCTTCACTGTTGTCACCACTGATAGAAAGAGAAGACGGAATTCTGCATACTCTACCACCAATCACCACCATTCCCACGCCACTCGTACAGACTTCATCTCACGCGTCCCCAAGCTTGGATCCTCACCGGTTGCAACAATCGTCTCCACCACCAACGAAGACAGATTTACCTGCGCCGACATTGCCTTTGATGGCAATCGACGATAATCTGGTAATTCCACCAACTTTACACTCTGATTTTGCAGATCAAGGATAGCAAATTTTGGGCCACGACCCAAGCCCAATATCCACCTCACAAAACTTAAGCCCAACACCACCAATCCATAATGGCCCAAACACAAACCCACAATCATCTTCTTCACCTAATCCGATACCACCACCACAAAACACACGCCGTAAACTCACAAAACCAAAAGTTCGTATCCAGAAACCACCAAAGTCCCGATGGAATGCTCCCAAACCGCCGCCACCACCACCCGTCAATAACCATGACATGAGAACCCGAGCCAAAAACAAAATAAATAAACCAATCGATTGCCTCTCTCTTCATGTCACAAAAACACTGTTCATTCTAACCACAGTAAATCAGGCTCTTCGGGATGAAAAATGGCGGAATGCGATGTCATTGGAGTTCAATGCGGTGTGCCGAAATGGTACATTCAACCTTGTTCCTCCATCACCGGTGCAAAATGTTATTCCTACAAAGTGATTTTTACTCTTAAGTATCTTCCAAACGGTGTACTCGACAGATACAAAGCGAGGTTAGTGGCTCGCGGGTTCAATCAGCAGTACGGCCTCAATTACTCTGAAACATTCAGCCCAGTTATTAAGTCCACCACTGTGCGCTTGGTGCTTGAACATGCTGTTCGTTCCTCTTGGCCTATTCGTCAACTGGACGTGAATAACGCTATCTTGCAGGGGACTCTCACTGATGAGGTCTATGTCACACAACCACCTGGATTTGTTGATCAAGATCGTCCTGGCTATGTTTGCAAGCTCAACAAAGCATTATATGGACTTAAGCAGGCTCCGCGTGCTTGGTACGAAGAACTAAAGGCGTCACTGATTGCAGCAGGATTTCAAAATGCGGTTGCTGATACGTCGTTATTCACTTATCATTGAGGTACAGACATTGTATACATCTTGGTATATGTGGATGACATTGTCGTTACTGGAAGTAGTGAGGGAGTGGTGACTAAGGTGATTGCATCATTGGCAACTCGGTTCTCTATTAAGGACCTCGGCAATCTGAGCTACTTCTTGGGAATTGAAGCTCATCGAACAGCATCTGGATAACACTTAATGCAGCGGAAGTATGTTCTGGATCTCTTGACCAAGACCAAAATGCTTGACGCCAAATCAGTCTCCACTCCAATGGCTCCTCATCTGAAACTCTCAACTCGCTCAGGCTCTGTTCTATCAGACGCAAGTCAATACCGTATGGTAATCGGGAGTCTCCAATACTTGGCCTTCACGAGACCAGACATTGCTTTTGCAGTAAACAAATTATCTCAGTATATGCACGCCCCCACCGATGAACATTGGCAAGCCGCAAAGCGTGTGCTCTGATATCTCGTAGGTACTCCTTCTCACGGTATCTTTCTTCGTGCTGATTCACCTTTGAGTTTGCACGCATTCTCTGATGCAAATTGGGCAGGGGACACGAACGATTATGTGTCTACAAATGCATACATTATATATCTTGGTTCCATGCCCATTTCTTGGTCGTCTAAAAAGCAGAAAGGCGTTGCTAGATCATCAACGGAGGCCGAGTATAGGGCGGTTGCTAATACTGCTGCAGAGCTACGGTGGGTATGTTCTCTCTAATCTGAACTACGAATCCAATTGCCTTCTGCTCCTGTAATATATTGTGATAATGTGGGAGCAACGTACTTGAGCGCAAACCCGGTGTTTCACTCTCGAATGAAGCATTTGGCTCTTGACTATCGTTTTGTCAGAAACAATGTTCAATCTGGTGCAGTTCGTGTCTCCCATATCTCAACAAAGGATCAATTAGCCGATGCCCTGACAAAACCACTAACTCGTGCGCATTTCAACGAGCTCTACAGCAAGATCGGAGTGACTCCAACCCCTCCATCTTGAGGGGACATGTAGAGTATATAAGGAATACATAATATCGTGATTGATATTGTGATTGATACTATGATTGATATTGTAATTATGTATAACCTAGTACACCATTCGTATTCTCCTATATATGCTCTGTAATCACTTCTGAAATATATATTATTTAATCATTTACCTTACAGAAAGGCGCGGAAACTGCGAGATCTGCGAGATTAAGATATGAGTTCCTCAAGGTTCTTGTTGTTAACGTTTGATGAATGCGTTCGCAAGACTTGAACGTGTGTTCTTTTGTTCACAAGACTTTTACTCCAATATTATTATTTTTCTACCGTTTGACTGTTTCACTTCGTATCATTTGATGTCTTCTCTAGCATTGCGGTAATTCCACAAAGAAACCAAAACAAAACAAAGCAATAAATAAAATAAAAAAACCCCATTGTTAAAAAATAATATTTTACTTCTTTTTTAGCTTCAACTAAACCTTTTGAACAAGAATATATCAATAAAATTCGTACCATCATCCTATGTGGAAGCTGTTTAACTTTCTCTCTATCCACTAGAAACGTAAATAATCCCATCTTCTCCTAAAACTCGCGCACTCAAACGTGTTTAGAAAGTTTCGTTTAGGTTTGTGCTATTGTCACCCGGAACAACAAGACTTTAATTATATAAAAGCATAGTAATTTTTCATTGTATAAAGAAAAATATGTTTTATACAATAAGATAGTTGAGAGATGCTTTTATAGGGTCAACAATACAAACAATTCATAAGAGAAGAGTTCGTAAGAAGTAGAGAGATAAACTTGATTTTCTGATTACAATTGCCCACACAACACTTGCAAGCTCTTTTAGTCTTCTTCTCTTTCTGGAGGAAGGCCACGAGGTAAAAGCATTTTTTTCTGAAAAAAAACCAAACAAGTTTGGAGTTAAAAGCCAAATTAGGGGAAGAACATGAACTAACCATTATTATGAATCAAACATGAGCTTGTAAAGCTGAATGAGTTCCTTTGTTCAGTCAAACAAGTAACCTCAGTTGAACTAATAATTATAATACTAATTCAACTGAATAAACCTGGACAAGAGCTCTTTGGATTCAATTCAAAATACAGATCCTGCCTTTACTTTGTTTTACTTTGCTTCTGGTGAAGGAGTGTTTGGTTATACTTGACATGGATAATGATGCGCCTGGGCCCAAATTAACACCTACGACGCCTAGTTTCCTTCACGTAATGGGAGGCATTACAAAAAAAAAAGACTTTGGTTATAAAAAAGCTTGTGGAAGAAGAAAATTCAAAAACTTAAGCAAAAGGCGTTTTCGTCTCTTTCAAGTCCAACAATGTCGTCCCCGGTAAAGAAGAGGAAGAAGATGGAGGAGCCGACGCCGCAATCAAACCCTATTCCGTCGCTTCCCTATGATTTGGTACCTTACTGCACCGCACGCGTCTCAAGATCGTACTACCCGACTCTCTCCCTCGTCTCCAAGAGCTTTCGATCTCTCATCGCTTCACCGGAGCTTTACAAGGCCCGATCACTCTCGGGCCACACCGAGAGCTGTCTCTATGTGTGCGTACAGCCATTCGGTACTGATCCCACCTGGTACACCCTCCGCCAGAAACCTAATCCAATTCCAACCCTAACCCACCACAATCATAAGAGTAAGAAGAAAGAGAAGGAGAAGCCACGTGGGTATGTTTCGGTCAAAGTCCCAATTCTCAACTCTCCTCGTGCGAGGTTCTCGGGTCTTGTTTCGGTTGGTTCTGATATCTACAACATCGGATCCGGATCCGGCTACGACAATAAGTCATGCGTCTGGGTTCTGGACTGTGTGTCTCACACGTGGCACGAAGCTCCGAGCATGAAGGTGCAGCTAAGTTCCCTCTCTGCTACCGTCATTGATCGAAAGATTTATGTAGCGGGAATCCAAAGCAAATCCTTGAAGAAGACGAAGAACTCGTTACAGGTGTTGGACACAAGAACACAAACCTGCGACTGGGAGCCTGTCCCATGCAGCGATGTAAAAAGCTCCTTTCTAGACTCGAGAAGCGCTTGTATTGATGGAAAGTTTCACGTCAGGACTGAGGAAACAGTGTTTGGTTACAGCTCCGACGAAGGAAGATGGAACCTGGCTGAACAAAGTGTGCAATTTATGTTTTCGGATTCTTATTGCGAGATAGAGAATGTTCGTTACTCTGTTTATAAGGGAGCGCTCGTATGGTATGACGCTAAAGTGAAGCTGTGGAAACATTTATCGGGTTTGGTTGGACTGCCTAAGTTCCCTCGTGCTGTGTCTCTTAGATTGATTGGTTATGGTGGTAAGATGGTAGTTCTGTGGGACGAGAAGTTGCCTTATAGTGGTCAGGAGAAGATTTGGTGTGTGGAGATTGCGCTTGAAAGACGCGGAAACTGGGACATTTGGGGTGAAGTTGAGTGGTTTGATCATATTCTTACGCTTCCTATAAGATATGGTTTCTTCGAAGTTGTTGTTGCAACCGTTTGATGAATCATGTCACAAGTCTTCTTTTGTTTTAATTATACTCTGTTTCACTCCTAATCTTGAAACCACAAGAAAAACAAGCAAACCAAAACAAAACCCATCCTGAAAAGAAAAGAAAAATATATATTTACTTCAACTAAACCCTTTTGAACAAGAAGATATCATCAACCAAATCATATATCTCACATCCTATGTGGAAACTGTTTGAACAAATCCTTAACTCTTTTTCTCTTCTATCCACAAGAAAAATCAAATAATCTCAATCATCTCTCACCAAAGTCTTCACGCCACGAAGGAAACTCTATTTTCTCAACAAACCCTAAAACTCACCACTCAAAACCGTGTTAACCCGGAACCAAACATTCAAAATGTAACTAGAAACTCTGGTTTAGTAGGCTTGTGCCATTTGTCACCCGGATAAGCCTTCTTTCTCTGGAACTTCGATCTGTGGTGGCAAGAGTTTCAAGAAGCTTCCTTGGTAGCTTGTGGTGCCACTCGCTGATTCATCCTCTGTCAAATGTTTTGGTTTTTACAATCTGGTTATAGACCTTAATCATATGATAGTATCAAGAAACTCTTGAGAGACAATGAATTGAAAGTAGATTGTAGTAGCGTTAACTATGTAATAATGTCTTTCTTTCAATTGTAAATGCATTTACCAAAGAGGGATTTAATCGATGGCCGCTTCGGCTTCGTGCTCTTCTTCTTCAGCTCAGCTGCAACAGTAAACACACAACACAGATTACAACAGAGCAAATCATGCAATGTTTTTAACTACAAGTCAAATTTGTTATGCAACTGAGAGTTACCTATCCCTGGTAACTGATCATTATCTACGATTTCAACGTTCTTGTAAGTGTAACCCATAAAGTTAATGTCTTTGGATGAGAGCATCTGGAGAAAACACAAAGACAGTCCCAAGTTAACAATGCTAATGACATCAAGCAATCACTTTTTGTTGTTGTCAACGAAAAGTTCTTATATTCATACAAAGTGAGACATGATGCAAGAAAATTTTGTACCTTTCTCCATGGACCTGATTTTGCTACCTTTGGAACTTGTTTGTCAGTCTGTTACAGAAGGAATTAAAAATGAATATCTATTATTTTCTATATCAACAGCTAATACGCATCATTGATGGTGCCATGATTTAGTTACCTCATCAAATTTTTCGAAATTTTGGGTATCTAACTCGTCATTGACTTGGGGAATAAAAGCAGCTTTCATCTGATATAATTTTCCCCATTCGACGCCTCTGAACCAAGGATGATCCTAGAAGAAAATGCCAGCAATTTATGAAGCATTTACCAATAGTCTTTAGACAAGGGAACTTCAAATCTTGAAGTTGTTTAAAACACACAGTACCTTAATTTCATATGCTCCTTTTGTTCCAAGCCTTTGTTCTACGTTGCATAACAGTCTACATATAAGATCCTTTGCTTCTGGTGATAATCTAACCTCTTCCGGGAATTTTAAATAGTTTCTCCAGTTTACTATCTGCATTAACACGAAATGAAGATAATGAGATATGAAAGGTGAAAGAAGATCAAGAGCTAAATCATCACTAGAACGAAGTTAAAATCCAATTTTAAAGGGAGGATCTGTTACCTTTCTACAAGTTGTCATTGGCTCATCTGAATAAAATGGTGGAAACCCCACAAGCATTTCATACATGATGGCACCAAGAGACCACCTAAAGAAATCATTACACTAACTTTAAATTCATCTTTAACTTAAAGAAACCAAACCAAACAAGATCCAACAGTTTGGCTTCACCTACCAGTCACATTCCATTCCATATCCTTTCTTCAATAAAACTTCTGGGGCAATATAATCAGGAGTTCCAACTGTGGAATAAGCCTGCAATCGACAAAAACCTTTTACTTAGTAAGCTACATTTAACATAAACTTCTACATCAACAGAGAAAAAAAAACTTCCATTATATGAATAAACTTATGACTGTTTTTTAATCTTGCAAAAACAGACATTTCAGAGCAAGAAAGAGACTGATTTGAATATAAAACTCACAAGCATTCTTCTATTTCTCTGCCAGTTTTGCAGCTGTTCCATTTGGGAGCGGCTGCGTCTAGGTGCCACAGGTCGACCATCGCTTTGTAGAGCCCCACTGAGGTTGTGTGCAACTGTGAAATCCTTTTCCTGGAGAACACTACAGTCTAATGGCTTACATAATCCAAAATCTGACAATTTCATGTGACCGCTTCTGTCGAGTAGCAGATTATCAGGCTTGATGTCTCTGTAACAAATTGGAGAAGTAAATGGATGCTTAGAAAAACATGAAGAAGAAAAAACACAGACACAAGAGCTACAAGTTTATTTATATAGAAGGATTGACTTCACTAAACCTGTGGATATAGTTGTGCTTATGAATGGACTCAATAGCTAAGACAGTTTCGCCGACATAAAACCGTGCCTCGTCTTCAGTAAGTGTGTCTTTCCTCATAAGTAACGTCATCATATCCCCACCAGGTAGATACTCCATGATAAGATACAAATACTCTTCGTCTTGAAATGAACAATACAGCTTCACAATGCAGTTGCTGTCAACCTCTGCAAGTAAATTTCTCTCTGCTTTTACATGTTCCACCTGGAAAAAAGAAAATCAGATTTCAATAAACAAGTTGATAGAACAAACGAATATGTATCACAATATATGCAGCTTGGAGGAGATACCTGGCCTCTACGAAGCATCTCAGATTTCTTAAGCTTTTTCATTGCATAGACATGGCCTGTTCCCTTCTCCCTACATATCCTAACCTGCATCAAGAGAGAAACTAAATCGTAAGAGAGCGAAATAAGTAATTTAGGTCAGAGCTAACTGTATGATCCATGCTGAAAACTAGCAAAACAATCTGATATTCGAGAAAACTTGCATAAATCCTAAAGGCCAGTGATCAACTATAGATCAACGAATAAACAAAATACTCACATAAGAAAATTTCATAATGCATAGGGTACATTGGTGCAAGCTCTTCAGGTAGGCTAATTACTACAGACATTCATGTTTCAGCAATTATACATCACATGAACGGATCAAGATGATGTCAATGAAAAGCTGAAAAAACGATTAGTTATCGACAAAAGCGGCAGAACAAGAGGTTTATAGTAAGATTAATGCTACCTCTCCGAAGGCACCCTTTCCTATCATGGTCAACGGCTCGAAGTCATCAGTTCCCATTTTATGTCTCTGACGGCGCATGTATTCAGTTTCCTTCTTCTCTAAATCATAAAGCAAATTCTTTTGCTCTTCCTCAGAGACTTCTGCAGCAGCTAACTTATTTTCCAGCATACTACGTCTGCAGCAAATGCGATTACCCCAAGAAAAGTGCGTAAGTGCAAATTACCGATAAAAGAGCACAAGAGATGGATAACATTCACATATAAAAGCAGAAGATATGTCATATACCAAAATTTTCTTTCAAAGATATAGCCTACAAAAAAGAACTTCCAGAGAAACTATCCACCAATTCACATTATGATCTGATCTCTCATAAAGATAGCAAACACTAGAGCTAACAAATTTCTCTAATCCTAATCATCAACAACACATTTAACTAACTTCTAACTTTTCCTTCCACAAGAACCAAGAAAAAAGAAAACAAGAACCAACATTATGCTGACAGAAAAAAATATCTGCAAGAAACTTGTGCAAGTGTCATTTGGATGCTAATGAACAAAACAACTCATTAGTTCTCTTGATATATACGTAAAGCAAACCATACCGCTCGTGTCTTTCTTGCTGACTCTGCACTTGTTTCTTGTAGTGATTCTCAATATACTGTTTCGCAGCCGCAGCCTTCTGCTTTGTTACATTTGACATAGCTTCTTCACCACCAACTGTTTTCGATCCGTCCTTTACATCACTTCTAGTAGTTTCCTTCTTCTTCGAGGATTGCTTCTTCCCTTTTAACTTATTCAGCCAAGCTCTGGCAGTATCCATCCTTTCCCCTTTAAGTTCGATCCCAAACCAAATATCTCTCTAGATATACCCCTTACGCAAAAGCCAGCAGAGAGTTCGATATATGTACAACAATATGCATACGTCACAGGACCAGACAGATTTCTCTAGCGTCTTGCACCTACAACGAGATAGATAACATAAATGAGCTAACAGTGACTCAAACCAAAAACGCCAAAACACAAACGCAAAATGATCAAGTCAACAAGCTCTGCTATTTTAGAGTAAACACTAACAAAAAAAAAAAAAAAGACTCAATCAAACTTCTAACATTAAATTGATATCCAAATGCATAGTGTCTAGTAAACTCATAATTAATTAGCCAAATTAACCTAAACTGAGCAAAAAGTTGTCACCTTTTTTCTCTCACCAGTTTCATAGACTTTTAGCCAACCCTAACAGTAAGTTCCAAAATCAAACACACATCTGAAAAACCAAATTTTGAGAATTCCCCACCAACACTTAAACCAAAACAAACTCAATACCAGCGAGATAAGTCGAAGGTAAAGCCAATACCAAATCGATTTGAAAAAAAAATAAACAGAATGTGAAAATAACAGAAATGTACCCGGTGAATCAAGCGGGAAACCATAAGTCGAAAAATGCAGCAGAAGCTCAAATCAAACAGTTCGCGATGAAGCAGGAATACACCTGAAGAACACTCAAGAACAAAGCGTTGAGAATTGGAAAACACAGAGAAGGAAGAGGATAGAAAGGCGCCGATTTTTGTGGTGAGAGTTTTAAGTGAGAGAGGAGAGGGAAAGAAACCCTCGAATCCAGGTAATTGATTCCTCGATTTTCTTCTGTTTTTTCCTTCGATTTTTAATGGGTTAGGAAAAAAATTGCAGTGAAAGAGAAGGGAGAAAGGAAAGTTTGAAGCTTTCGTCGCTTTTGATGTGTAAAATTACAAAGAGAAGTTATGCACACAAAACTGCTCCTTTCTTCTGCTTCTCTCTTTTGGTCAAAGTATAATTACACATTGGCCTTTTTGGGGGATTGGTTTAATGTCAAATCATAGAAACAATGGATTAGGAGTTTAATTGAATAGATCTTAGTTATTTTAAAAAACATATGTTACCTTATCTAGACGTAGACGTAGACGTTGACGTATACTAGATGATTACGGATTACACACTCCATTATGCAACATTATTAAATATATATATCTATATTTTTTTTTTAAAAAAAAAAATCATAATATTTAAGAAAAATTAACATCAATAAATTTAATTTTGAATAGATCTTAGTTTTTTTTTAGTTCTAAAAAAAAACGAAAAGTTATTATTTTTTTTGTTCTAGATAAATGTTTAGTCACACTCGTTTTTATATTTTAGTCACAAAAATTTATCGATGCCGTGAAATGTATTGTATAGTTTGTTGTCAAATCACCAAACATAAATGAACTGCTCTCTGAAAATAAATATGTTCTTGACATTTGCAATATTTATGCGCCACAGCAATCCGAATTCAAAAAGAAAAAGTAACCTTAATTTATCTTTAGGAACAAAAACAAACAATTTTAGGATAAGGGTTTGAATTTTTTTTTGGTATTAAAGGGTTTGATTTCACAATCTTTGAAGGGCAATATGAACAGCTTTGAGGTAGGGAAGTGTAACGCGGGGGACCATTTTGTGTGTTGCCAAACTTTGTAGGTATGTATCACATTCATATTTTTTTCTGAAATAAATTAAATGTATAGTACTATTTATATAATTTAGATGTATAACAACGTTTTTTTTGAAAAAGTATAACAACGTTACGAGTGTAATTTGGAGTCATAGAGTGGTTCCAACAATAATTACGAGGGGAAAAAACCACTGTACTGAAATGTTTAGCTGGATTTTTATTGTCATTATTCTTCTATTATCTGCATGATGTCATATAGAAAATGAGGCATGCCAATTATCATGTTAGTTTTTGAGTAAATGTTAAGGATCATATTAAGTAAAATGAGTTAAAAAATAAATAAAAAACGGTCCAATATTTATTTTAGATAGAAGTATACTACTAGTCAAGACCTCGTATATATAGAAGTAGAAAATAAGAAACAAAAATATATATATATTTAAATTGATTGTCGTATCTCGTATGAGTCTAGCTATAAAATGCAAAAAAATACGAATGTTATTGTCATGCACTCATGGCTAATAAATTTCAATATCAATTATTTGGATAGAATATATAGAAAGTGGAGGCATATATTATGGTAGTTAACTTAGAGAAATGGACAACAACTTCAACTTTGTGTCCACGAGACAAAATTTGTAGAACACTTTCACATGTTTAGTTTCCTTTTGGGCCAATAAAATGTTCTAATCATCAATTATACTAAATTATTTGCTTTTCCTCTTAAAATAAACATTATCACCAATTTTGCGTGGATATAACCTAAAGATTTCTTCCAACAACAGTAAAGTTACTTGTGAGTTACAATGGAACTAAGTAAACAACACGCATGCCTTTGTCTCCATCATGCTTCTTTGTAGTTTCTTCTTTTTTCTTTCTCCATTAATCACAATTAATACTGCGAAGAGCTAGATGATTTCTAATCATCCTAGGGTTTTGGATTCAGTTATATTATATGAAGTAGGACTCTCAACAGTTAACAGTCAACATCCAATGTAGAAGATTATATTTCTATGTTTAGTAATTAGTAGTGAATAATCAACAGGTTTATGAATCTAGTAATCACTAGTTTAATATATAAATTACACCCAAACAAAGTTTTAATTGATAGGAACACAAGAAAAGTAGAATTTACACTTTCAGCCTGACCATGTCGATCAGATCGATTCTAACCTCAACGCCTAAGAACGAAATCACAAACTAAATCAAGATTCAATAAAAAGAGTTTTTTTTTTATAATGAAAAATAATATCTGAAATGGACATTGATTTCCCTTCATTGCAGCATGCAATTTCAAATCATTTTGGGTTGTATGCTTTATTAGAAAAATTCCAAAATTTCTTACGTTATCTGAGTTCTTGTTTCTTCACAACCGTTACATGCTCTCTCGCAGGCAGCTTGATCAAAGTGGAGGTGAGAATTGTGCAGCATATCTTACGTGGAACAGAAAACAGGATTTGCTGCGATGTATAGTGCTGATTGATTGTCACATGAGAGACGCATTGGTCCAACATGCTTGACGCCAAAGCATGACAGCAATTCACGATCCCACTTCAGCTCACAAGTAGTATTTGCCATAGCTCTATATTCTGCTTCTGCCGATGATCGTGACACAACACGTTGCTTTTGTGTTCTCCAATTAATCGGAGAATCTCCTAACATCACCACAAAACCAGTCAAAGATCGTCGAGTCAACGGACACGCCGCCCAATCTGAATCACAATAAACAGACAATCGAAGATCGGAGTTGGTAGAGAGCAAAATCCCTTGACCTGGACATCCTTTAAGATAACGGAGAACACGAAGAACACCATGCCAATGCTTCGTCAGAGGCTTTTGCATAAATTGTGCAAAAACATGAACAATATAGGACAATTCTGGTCTTGTAATCGTCAAGTAAACCAAGCGCCCTACAAGTCGTCGATAACCCTCTGGATCTGTGTAATAATCGTCACCAACGTTGGAGAGTTGATGATGTTGTTCAACTGGAGTGGCCACAGGTCGTCCCCCCAAAAGACCACAATCATTCAAAAGATCCAATACATATTTCCTTTGAGAAAGATAAATACCTTGCGTGGAACGAGCTACTTCAATTCCTAAAAAGTATTTTAGAGGACCCAAATCCTTCATACGGAAGCATTGTCCCAAATAGCTCTTAAATCTTTCAACAGCATCAGCATCGTCTCCACCAATCAATAGATCATCGACATATACAATCACATATGTATGGGTGTTGCCTTTAGTCAACGTGAACAATGAATAATCAGACCGAGATTATACAAAACCATACCCTTGAAGTGCTGCCGAGAGTTTTGAAAACCAGCATCGGGGTGCTTGTTTCAATCCGTAAATAGCTTTCTTCAATTTGAGAACCTTGTTATTTTCAGATGCATAAAATCCCGGAGGCAATTTCATATAAACTTCTTCTTCTAAATCACCATTGAGAAAGGCGTTATGGACATCCATTTGGTGAACAATCCAATTCTTTGTTGCTGCTATCTTCAAGAACATGCGTACAGTATTCATCTTCACGACCGGAGCAAAGGTTTCATCATAATCCACACCCTCGGTTTGTCTATTGCCAAGGGCAACTAGTCTCGCCTTGTATCGTTCTAGGGTACCGTCGGAGTGAAATTTAACTTTATAAATCCATCGACATCCGATTGCTTTCTTTCCTGGAGGAAGATCAGTAATAACATAAGTTTGATTCAGCTCCATCGCACCAATCTCATCTGTCATAGCATTGTTCTATACCTCGAGTTGAACTGCTTCGGCAAAACTTTGTGGTTCTGATTCAGCGATGACAGCTGCAAGAAAAACTTTGTGTGCCTCCGAAAATTTTTCACAGCTGACATAGTTTGCAATAGGGTAGAGAACCGTACCTAAAGACAACTCTGAAGACGGGGCTGAGAGATACGGGGGGTCAGTAGAAGCTTGTGCCAAATAGACATGATAATCTTTAAGTTTAACACTTTGTTGTTTTTCACGTCTTCCTCTGCCTAGTTGCTCTGCTACGATCTCTGTCTCAACAAGTGTAGGAGGACTAGTTTCAATCTGCACCGGTTCCTCCACAACTCTCTGAACGGTGCCTAAATTTTGTGGGATGCATTCCGTACTTACACCATCAGTTGGAACCAGAAAACGATCACTATCATCAAATATGTGTGCTTGGGGAGACAACACAGGAGGAGAAGCTGCACTTTCATCAGAGGCAAAAGGAAACACATTCTCTTGAAACACAACATCACGTGAGACAAAAAAATTTTTGTTCTCAAGATCATATAATAACCATCCTTTCTTGCCAAAAGGATATCCCAAGAAAACACACTTTCGACTCTGCTCTGCAAACTTATCTTTGTCTCGAAGATTGCTCTTGTGTGCATACCCAAGACAGCCAAACACTCGTAAGGAATCAAACGAAGGTGCTATACCAAACAGTACTTCATATGGCGTTTTCCCTTTCAACAGAGGCGTCGGTGTGCGATTGATAAGATGACTGGCCGCCAAAACACACTCACCCTAAAACTTGATAGGAATATGAGTTTGAAACATCAAAGCTCGAGCTACATTCAGAATGTGCCGATGCTTCCTCTCCACTCGACCATTCTGCTTCGGTGTTCCAACGCATGATGTTTGATGTATGATTCCTCTCTGAGTAAAATAACTATTCATACACGTAAACTCTGTACCATTGTCGCTTCGTACCACCTTGACCTCTTTGTCAAACTGTCTTTGCACCATCGCAAAAAATTTTGCAAAGTAGTCGCAACTTCGCTCTTCACAACCAACAAGAATATCCAAACCGCACGTGAAAAATCATCGACAATAGTCAAAAAACAACTTGCACCACAAGAAGAAGGTGTGCGATATCCTTCCCAAACATCACAATGAATCAAATCAAAAATTCCTTCAGCTTTATTATCACTTTCATGAAAACAATCTCAAGTTTGCTTAGCTCAGAAACAAATGTCACAGACCGGGTCATTCTCGGCTGATTTAATATCACTAATAGAATTCGATAAATAACCCAAAACTCTACTTGATGGATGACCAAGTCGACGATGCCACAAGTCTCTTGCTCCTTTAGTAGTCGTTACTTTATTAGCAGTTCCTCTTATCACTCCTCTGAAAACATAGACCCCACCGCATTCTTCACCGGCGCCAATCAGAGTCATCTTGGTATGGTCCTGCAAAACACACACATCAGCGGTGAATGTGATCGATGATCCCTAAATTCCCTTAAGTAGTTTGGCAACAAATATTAGGGAACACTTTAAACTTGGTGCATAAAGAACATGAGTCAGCCACACATCACCCCCTAAGCATATATCACCTTGCTTAACAGCTATAGCACAATCTCCATCAGGCAATCCAATAGAACATGGCACAATATCAATAACATTATGTA